TTTTTGCTGATTTTTAGAGAACCTTTAGAGTAGCAGACCTCTAGTTTCTTCTACTGGAGAGAGCATTGAAGTGCACTCTTTTTCATATAAAACATGGTCTTCGAAAAGTTTCTGGTTATCTCAGGAAATGCGAAAGTGCAAAAATAGTCGATTTTTCCAAAACCGCTCTTAGATTTTTGCTTATTTTTAAAGATCGCTTAAGTCAACGCACCTCTGGTTCTTACTACCAGATAGACCATTGAAATGCACGTTTTTTCATGTTCCAAAAGTTGCTGGTTCTCTCAAAAAATGTCAAGTCAAAAGTCTTTTTTTTTTATTTAAATTTTAATTTAACAGTAAAAGGCGATATGAATGCACATCTTATTTTAGCAATGAATGCGAAACATATTTAACGACATTTCGTAGATTTTCGTAAGCAAATTTCAATATGGCGTCTGAAGTAATGACGTCACTGCCAAATGGCTTGGGACAAAGTATATTCACACGCAACACTACTGCTACAGCCCTGTCTTAAAAGAGTGATTAAATTTTGAACTACAATAGAACAAGTAGTGGTTTGAAAGTTAATTTTTGCAGTAAATTGCGCGTTTTCCATATAAAATCTCAGTTTAGAAGTGTCTCGTTTTTTGGGAAATTGCCAAGTCCCAAATTACTGCATTTTTCCAAAAATCGCCCTAATTTTTGGCTCATTTTGATTGAACCGTTTAAATGACGAGTATTAGTTGATGGCTTATTGAAATGTGGCTTTTTCCCATACTAAAAATCAGTTCATCAATGTGTTACAATTTTTCTGTCTATTTTTTCAAAACCGCGTTTTTTCAGCTCATAGTTAGAGAACCGTTTTAGTTATTAACCTTTCACTAATGATCTGATAAAGGATTAAATTCCGCATTTTTCCTTATCACTCATCAATTTACTACTGTGTCTAATAATCTGTTTGTGCAGATCAATTAGTAACGGGATTTTTTTTTAGTTATGGTCAATACCGACATTCATATCGAGTAAATATTTGAATTATTCGCTATTTGCGATTGCATAACGCCGTCGGACACACAAGAACTAGTGAAATTGTTATTGATTTATTGAGTTCGTGTAGGACGCAAAACATGCTTAATACATTCCATTCGAACTTGCATTGGAAATGTCGCAGTTTTCTTTTGTTTGCATGTTTAAGGAGTTTAAAAATAAGTACCCAAGTGTTTTAGACGCACCGAATAAGTTTGTATCATTTTTAGCTAATAGTAACTCGTGACTTGCTAAACGTGTTTCGCAAGGAATCATTAATTATTTTGAGGAAAGATTCACTGATTTGGCACAAAACTGCCTGCAGAATGCCAGCGAGTTTTCTTTGAGAGTGGCTTGGCCCATCAATCACAATATTCGGGTCCTCTTTGGTTGCTTTAAATGAAAATCCACCGCTTTCCGTCTGTTTCCAATGTTTTCGGGGAAAACGTTTAGGTAAATAGTTATTGATCCAGTTCGGAAAACAACTGCATTTGCACGGCAGAAACTTTCTTTTTGATTGACTAATTACTGGAACAAAAGCATGTTGCAGCACCCACGAACACAATAAAACACTAAGCAGTGGCCATAAAAGAACCAACAAGGCCAATGGGACAAATCAGTACGATAAGTTCTCGTTTAGACCCAATCAACCATGCAGTGGTCGCATTGTTCACCTCAAACTCCGGGTAAATAAACTTTAAATTCACCTGTGGGCGATCGCTTTCATACTAATGATTCGCTATTACTATTTCGGGTCACA